AAGCCTAGGCAGGACAGGTGACAGGTGGGGGGACAGTTACCGTGGTGCCGTCCCAGTGCTGGTACTCCAGCTGGTAACGCAGGAGGAAGTAGGAGTGTGGGCTGGACCAGGAGGCTGGGGGGGCCCAGGACAGGTGCAGGCGCCCGCCCTTGCTCTGTGCAGACACGTCTTGCGGTGGGCCCGGCCTCACTGTGGGCACAGAGAGTCTAGTTAGTCATGAGGGAGGGTGGGATCAGACCGATGGGCAAGGGGAACCCCTCCACTCTCTGGGTACTCCCTCCCCTTGGCCTTTGGCGCAGGGACCCATCACCCCAAGGCTGCCTGACCCCAGCCCTGGATGGAGATGTGGGTCCTGGTACCCATGGGGGGGGGGTTCTGGGGCAGTAGGGGGCCCAGTACCCACACAGGGGGGCTCTGGGACAGCGAGGGGCCTGGTACCCATGCGGGGGGAGGAGCTCTGGGGCACTGAGTGGGGGGTCCCAGTAACCATGCAGCGGGGCTCTGGGGTAGTGGGGGGCCCGGTACCCCATGCAGGGGGGCTCTCGGGTGCGGGGCCCGGTACCCCATGCAGGGGGGGCTCTCGGGTGCGGGGCCCGGTACCCCATGCAGGGGGGCTCTCGGGTGCGGGGCCCGGTACCCCATGCAGGGGGGCTCTCAGGGGCCCGCTACCCACGCGGGACACACCGATGTCCCGGAGGAAGAGGCTGCGGGTGATGTTCACGAAGCTCTCAGCCGAGATTCCCTCCAGCGCCAGCTCCAGCGGCCTCGGCTCCTCAGCGAAGGGGCAGAAGGTCCCGTCCGCCAGGGTCACCGTGAAAGGCTGGGGCCAGTCCGGGCCCTGCAAGGCGGCGCCTCCGCCCACGTAGACCCAGGCCCCGGGGGCGCCACCGGGGCTGCGGCAGAGCACAGGCAGGTCAGGAGGGGCGTGGGGCAGGGGGTCCGGCCGGGGACAGGGGCTGGGGGGGTAGGCACAGAGGACGGAGAGTGGAGCGGGGTGAGGTCCAGCCGGGGGGCGGATGGGGGTCAGAGAGAGGGGGCAGACGGGGGCAGTGGGGCGGGGAAGGGAGGGGCATGGCTGGGGCCAGGGCCAGGAGACTGGGGGGGTAGGACGGGGGGCAGTGGGGAAAGGGAGGGGCACTGAGGGGCGCGGGGCCGGGGGTAGGGAGAGGGGGAGCAGTGGGGCGGGGGAAGGGAGGGGCATGGCAGGGAGGCGGGGCCGGGAGCCGGAGGGGGTAGGGAGAGTGGGGGCAGTGGGGGAAGGGAGGGGCACGGCGGTGCGGGGCCAGGGGGAAGGGACGGGGGGCAGTGGGGCGGGAGAAGTAGGGGTAGGGACAGAGGGGGCGGGCGGACGGACGGCAGTGGGGTGGGGCCGGGGGTCAGGGGAGGTGCGGACGGGGGG